AAAAAAAAAAAAAAAAAAAAAAAAAAAAAAAAAAAAAAAAAAAAAGAACGCACTGCTGGAAACCGGGTCCGGCATCCCATAGATAAATTTCTGCGCTAACTACCACTGCAAAACTGTATCTGAGTCCTGCGTGTAACCCCTCTCAGCCGTGGCCAGCTAGAACTCTGAAAGCTTGGCCTGCCGGCAGCTCAGTCATGGTTGCCAGTTGGTAAGGCACAAAAGTTGCATTCAGCAGGTCGAGGGTTCAATCCCCTGTGGCCACATGTACATGCCTGGGCATATTTGGTATTCTACCAGCTTGAGATAACCCGTTGGCCCTCCAAGCCAGCGATGGCAGTACCTTGGCCAATATTGTTGGTTGCTATACAGGAACGGTATTGGCCATTAGACACCGCAAATGTGGGGTTGGAGGGGGTTAGGGGAAGGTTGATGTGACTGGCCAAAGATGCTCGGCACTAGCATCGCGGTTTCCCCGTCGGCAATGCCCGTCGGCAATGCCTGATCACCCTGCAAGCCTTGCTGTCGGACCACTGCTGTGCTGCCAACCTACGCCGTGGGCTGGGGACAGTCTAGGTTCGGTTGGTGTTCCCCCGTATACTACACATAGAGTAGAGAGAGGATGAGATAGATGGGATAGCAGAATAATACACAGAGATAGAGTGAGAGAAGAATATAGATTATTTTTTAAAAGGGAAGAAAAAAAAAGGAATCCTGAAATCTAGTTAACCAAATTTCAGCTGAGCTGGAAGATAGGTCCAGCCTGTCCAGGGTCCCAACAAACCCTAGCACTGCAATCAAACGACTATTCTGTCCATCATCTCTGTCCGACTTTCCCGGCGACATTGGTGTACGGGTAGCAAAGCCTACAGGGCCAATGGGACCACAACGTCCCTTCCGTATGGGATAATTGGTGGAAAGCGCCCACACAGAAACCTTTTTGGTTTTTGGCGTATGTGCCAAGGGAAAACGGCCGGTGGGTATTTTCATCTCCTTCCCTATTCTATGTACTCCAATCACCTGTCGCACACCACTACAATAGTCGCTACTGTAGCTACTCTGGAGATTGATCACTTGCATCATAATTTCTTGCTCAGCAATTGCTCAGCAAGGGGCCCAGAATTACCTTCTGCCACTTCTGGTCCTCCGACAAGGTGGCTAGTACACTGGCTACCATCTTCACCCAAAAACAAGGTACGTACCTTGTATTCAAGTTACCTCCGAAAAACGGGTTCTAAGAAATCGCGGATAAATTCAAAAGGTACCCTCGAACACAAATTTAGAAGGTACCCTCGACAACAAGGTACGTACCTTGTATTCAAATACAAGGTACGTATGTGCCTTGTAACTGTCATGTAACTCTCTCTCTCTCTCTCTCTCTCTCTCTCTCTCTCTCTCTCTCTCTCTCTCTCTCTCT